AGCTCATCCTCATGTAAAATATATGGCTTTGTATAAGAATCAAGAAAATGAGGTGTATGATTTTTTGTGATTTATAGATGCCGATGCGGATTATTCATAACAGAGCAGCTGTGCTGAAAGATTCATTCTCTGTAAAATGTGATTGTACATCAGGCAGTGTGAGAGAGCAAAACTATGACTAATGGCTGTTTTACATATAAATGAGAGGGCTTGTGCTGGGAACTGTAAAAAATACAATTCTTCGATTGACAGCCAATCTCTTTATCATACGCACATGGGCCGGAAATGATCCCCCAATTTTTATTTTTTTTGGACTGCGGGTGTTTGGAATGGAAAATAGTCTGGGGAAGTATTGCCATAGATTCTGATTACTTATAAACTGTTATATCATTTTGAGCTAATCATATGATTTTTTTTTAATGTGGAACATATGAATTACAGGATTGAAGGTGCCAAAGAGCATTTGTGTTCAGAATTTATTTTCAAACATATTTTAAAAGCAAAATTTAAAATTTCACAGTGGACTTAATTCATCAAACTGTTTTAGCACTTAGGGAGTGCTAAATAGTTCTGAAGGCATGCTAAGTTAGCCTTTTGCATAGCATGTTGGAACTTTGGAAGTCTACATAAATCAGTCCTAGCCTGCATGACTCAATTCCCAACATGTCACAGTCGTAAGGGAGACACGCTTAAAGTATAGTAAGCGACGGTTATAATCCCGGCTAATTTTTTTGAAATGTTTGTCCCATTGTTGGGATTTCCCTTCACTTCTCTTCCCATAGCCAGAACAAGAAGAAAGAGGAAACTCCTGTAGTGTTGGCTCTGAGGAAGAGGTTGTGTCCTCGAAACGCGTTAGCCAGTTGGTCATCCAGGGTTCCATCGTATGGACTCAGATGTTGTTTGGATCATACACCTTGTTCAGTTTGACACGCCTGTGTTATTATGTCCATTGTAAGTAAGATACCTATTTTTGTTTCTTTAATAAATTATTTTAAACGATAATGCACTAGGTCGGTGCGCCCTTTTTCTGTTTCTCCATTTGTATCCAGTGTCACCAGAACTAGTGTACCCATTGGAAGATTTCCTCTCTATTACTGTTTTGGGATTTTCTTTTTTTTCACTTTTAATGTTAAGGGTAAACAGAACAATTAGAGAGGGTGAATCTCCCTAATGAGTCACAGGAGGCCACATTGCACACCAACATCCACACTAGTGTTCTGTAAGCAGTCACCCTTTTCAGCAGAGCAAGAGAGAGAGATCTGAGCATCAAGCAGCTTGCATATACAAAGGCCTGTGAAAAAGCTGACTAATAATGAGGTCTGTCTACCATTTAAGATGTAGACCTAGAGATGGAGACTTTATCCTACTCAAAGCTCTACAAAGACTCCAGGACCCATGGAAGAACCTATTAAAATCCAGGGCTTTGACAAGTGGGGGAGTAGAAGTGGCATGGGTGCAATGTTATTATGCAAAGTGGGGGCTGCCCTGGGAGCCTGCGCACATTCTATTCTCCAGCTGCCTCACTGGCAGGATGGACAACAATGTCACTCCTGTCAGAAGGAGCAGGGGCCTTGATAGCTGCTGAAGGGAGGATTGTGCTCTCTACTCCCTCCAGTAGCAGCCTACTGTGAATGGAAGAGGGGAGGTTGTCTGCTGAGAACACACCTCCTTCTCAGTATGGGCGCCTTTCTTGAGGAAACAGCTCTTCTGCTTCAAGTATTCCTACGCAGTTGTGCTGCAGTGTAACAACCTTTCCCGTTTTACCGGCCAGATTCCTTTCTTTGATCTGAGGGACAGCAGTCTTCGGTGCTGGCCAAATTGCTTTCACTGGAGCAGCATTTGAATCTGGCCAGGACTGAAGACTGATGTCCCTCAGACCAGAGACAGCTGGCCTACTAAGATTTCTCTCCCAGTGACAGGCAGCATGGGGTTAATGCTGGTTGGACTGGCAGACTAGACTTATGGAGACCCACGGAGGTGACCTTCTCCCAACCTTCTAGATTACCTCTTTTCTTTTATCCCACTGACACAGATGCCATATTAGTTCTCCTCAGACTGATATAACTGACGCAACAAATTTTCCATACTAACAGTGATGCAGTTACAACACCAGTGCAGGGAAATGTTTTCTTTCCAGTGACACCACCAACACAGGGACATTTTTACTTTCAGCAACACTTCCAACACAGGCCCATTTTTTTTCCCTCCAATGTCACCACCAATGCAGAGATTTTTTTCCTTCCAGTGACACCACCAACGCAGGAATATTTCTTCTTTCCAGTGACACCACCAACGCAGGAATATTTCTTCTTTCCAGTGACACCACCAACGCAGGAATATTTCTTCTTTCCAGTAACACCACCAATGCAGGGGTATTTTTTCCTTCCAGTAACACCACCAATACAGGCACATTGTTTTCCTCACACCAATGCCGGGACATTTTTTTTCTTTGCCACTGTTAGCAACATATTTTTGTGCAGGTCAGAATGTACTATTAAACTCTTCATTTTGCTATGGTGTGCCACTACCACTGGCACTATTTTAGCACATACCACAACTATTATATACAGTGCTATCCTGCTCAGTGATGCACACATTGCTATTATCCTATTCCACTACTCCACCTGGGGAGGAGAGCAGTTTGGCATCTTCGCCCTGAGCACCTGATGGCCTTGTCCCAGCACTGCCCCTGTCTGTGTGTAGGTGAGAAACCTACTGTAAGTATCACCTACACACCATACCAGGGGCGGACTGACAACTCATGGGGCCCCCGGCAATAGGGGATCATGGGGCCCCTGTGTCCTTGCCCAAACTCAAAAAAGCCTATGAAAAAGGTACCAGGGGCATCTCATGGGGCCCCCTACTGACCCCGTGCCCTCGGGCAGTGCCCGAGTTTCCAAATGGTCAGTCCACCCCTGCACCATACACAACCCTATCAGCCAGTGCCTCACAATATATACAGCAGAAATATACTTAAAAAAAACTGTACCTTCTATCTTTAAAAAGCTCTTCCTAACTTCCAGGCAAGTGACTTTGCCTAGGCTGACATGATGTCATCAGTCTGCTGCAGGCAGGAAGAATATTTCTTCTGTCTCCTCTGCCCTAGTGATCAGAGTGCAACACGAGGCAGCAGCAGGGGGCTGATCTGTGTCAGGAATTTGTAAACAAAGCAAAGAACTGTACAGGCACCAGAATTCACATGACTAGTCTATGAAAAAGATTCTGACAATCGATGGTGTCTGAATAAAGAGGACAGTTTTTAAATTGTGCATGGTAAGGACCAACAATAGTCTTCTTCTCCCTTCATACATTTGCCGTGCTCATGGAAGAAATCACAAAAAGAACACCCAAAGTACATGCAGAGAGCATGGTGACAACTGAACTATGCAGCTCAGAACTGCAAGGCAGGCCTATGTGCTGCCTACAAACTTATTTCATCTTAGTTGCTAATCAATATGATTTTTTTTCTGAGCTCAAGGTGGACTCCTGTCATTTGTCACAGGGTATATCTAAGCATCCTAGGCATTACCTGTGCCTCTTTTAATCACATTGATGTCTAACACATTAGTGCTGCGAATGTAACCGGTGCTGCCGGACAATTTAGGAAGAGATAACAGACAGCGTGTCCCAGAGAGAAGAAAAGTGACTAGATTTCAAAATGCTGATTCAAGCAGGAATTCTGAGAAATGAGAGTTATGCCAGCACTATTTGTGATCATTATGCCATGGTGCATTAACCAAGGGCGCGGAGAGTGTGGCTTCAGCCGAACTGCATTACCTGGGAGAAAAAACACCTTCTCCTCTTCTACAGTTGCAGATCAGCACACCATTTGTAGGTCAAATGGAACATTCCATAGCAGGGGCGGACTGACCATTTGGAAACTCGGGCACTGCCTGAGGGCCCGGGGTCAGTAGGGGGCCCCATGAGATGCCCCTGGTACCTTTTTCATAGGCTTTTTTGAGTTTGGGCAAGGACACAGGGGCCCCATGATCCCCTATTGCCCGGGGGCCCCATGAGTTGTCAGTCCGCCCCTGTTCCATAGTATTGTTTTGTCAGCTTGGCCCAAGCCCACATTGGCAGTAAGGCAACTTCAGCATATGCTTAACATATAGCGCACATACTTTGGAAAAACTGACCGCGGTTTGGTCTGAGGTTTGGGGCTGCATGCTCTTTAGCGGTGCATATGGTGTTCTTCTTTTGAAATGAAAATAGTTTGACAACTGGTGAAGAGGTAATTTGACACGTACTCACCGCCCATTTTAACCCCATAAATGCTGCATTGTTGCATTAAAGCAGTTGCAGTGCCGTCCCGTTTGCTTGAATGTGAATGGGTTGCATTTAGCAGCAGTAGTACTGCCCAATAAATGTGAACGGGGGGGGGGGGCATTTTTATTGCAGCCAAGGCACATGTACACTTCCATTCAGCTGCCTTTGTAGCTTAACCACTTCAACATCGGCCACTTTCACACCCTTCCTGTCCAGGCCAATTTTCAGTTTTTATTGCTGTCGCACTTTGAATGAAAATTTCGCAGTCATGCAACACTGTACTCATATTAAATTTTTACACAGATAAATCTTTATTTTGTTGGTATTTAATCATCACTTTGTTTCTATTCATTTATTTTGCAAATAAATAATCTTTCTTCATAAATTTAGGGCAAATTGAATTCTGCTACATTTCTTGGGTGAAAATAACCCAAATCAGTGTTTATTATTTTGTCCACAGAAAAGTTATAGAGTCCACAAACTATGGTATGTCTATCTGAAAATTGATAAATCTGAATTCACTGAGGGCCAGTGAGGCCCAAAAATGCCAGGATAGTACAAATACCCCCCCAAACAATCTCTTTTGGGGGTTTTAACCCTCCTGGCGGTATTCCCGAGTGTAGCTTGGGGTTAACTTTCAGTACCAGAAGCAGTAACCCCGAGCTACACTCGGGAATACACTGCAGCGTTGCTCTGGGATTCCTCCTGCACTTACCTTGTCCTTCGCTCCCGCAATGTCCCCCCCTGCAGTGTCCCCGGCCATGTCCTCTGGCCAATGCCGGCATCCTTCTTTCAGGTTCTGTTCCCTGCGAGCGTTGGGACGTACGGGATGTACAGGGGATGGAACCGGCAGAAATGTCAAAAATGTAAATATTTGACATTCACTCAAAACACTAAAATCTGATAGTATTACATTACTGTATCAAACCATTTCACATACATTTTGTCCCGAGTGCTTTGTCCTGTGCCCTGCCTGCATTTTTACCATTCTTTCTGCCTGGAAACTGAGAAACGTCCATGGCGTCCAAAAAGTGTCCCTTTAGGTCAAAAGCGGTTTTAGACCAGCTAGAGAACAGCGATAGTAAATTAGAACTACTTGCAGAATTGAGTGATAATGATTTGTGGGGAAATTCATCATCAGACACTGAAAACGATTTTGCGACTTTGCTCAGTGATGTACGAACTTGGCGCTCTATTTCAAATTTCAGTGTTTTTGGTCTGATTACATTATTGAATTAAATTTATTATATTATTATTTTTTATGATTATTTATATTATAATTTATGATTTCGTGTTTCAAATATTATCATACCCGGGATGTTTACTAGACTCTTGTTTGGACAGATTTCAGTGAGTTATTCCTAAGAATTACAGGCCTACAATAAAAAAACAACAAATTTCCACTGAAAACAAAGTACTGCTGTGAGTACAGAAACACTGACATAATCAGACCGCTAGGGAGGTTAAGTAGACAGTTCAAGGTATTCAGTAAGAGGCATTGTGAGTTTTTTGAAGTTGTAACTTTTTTGTCACTTTTTTGACAAATGAAGAAAGCAGCTTTTTTCTAGCTTTTTTTCTACATGAACTGTAAAAACACTAATAAAAATGCTCTTCGCTCCTAAATGCTTCTAAATGCTACCATAACGCTACTACAAACTGGCACAAAAATTTTATTATCAGCATTTTTCATCTAGCTTTTCTTTTTAGCTTTTTTTGAGCTTATAAAAAATGCTAGTGTGCACAAGCAAGGGAGGGGACTCATTCTTTCTCTGTTGCAGTTTCACTTTTACTTACAGGTCTCCTCTTCACTCCCACCCTATGACTGAACAGCAGACTTGCACTGCAGTACACTTGTTTGGCTACTTGTACTGCTTCTCCCTCCCACTCTCTCAGCTAGACTGCAAGAGGCTGATACCAAGTCAAATTCAAGTACTTACACATTTAGTGATGTAATAACGATCTAAAACAATTATGGCTTTAACATATCTACTATGCCAGTTAAACCATTAGTCTTAAAGTGTACAGTATTTCCATTTTTGCAACCAAGTTAGGATAATACCTACTATATATTTGTTACATGTTCCCATTAACATAGAGCAACTTAAAAAAAAAAAAATATTTTTGAATAACATTTTAAGTGCTTTTTATTTGTTTAACCTCTTGCCCTCCAGAGGATTTACCCCCCTTCCTGACCAGGCCATCTTTTGCGTTATGGCGCTGTGTTACTTTAACTGACAATTGTGCGGTCATGCAACACAACACCCAGATGAAATTTACGTTCTTTTTTCCCCACGAATTGAGCTTTCTTTCTGTAGTATTTGATCGCCTGTTCGTTTTTCATTTTTTTTGCACTATAAGCAAAAAGGTCCGACAAATTTGTGAAAAAAAAACAATATTTTGGACTTTTTGCTATTAAATATGTTCATTAAAAAGATTTTAAAAATCAAATTTCGTCATAAATTTAGGCCACAATGTATTCTGCTACTTGTCTTTGCTAAAAAAAAAATCCCAGTATGTGTAAATTAATTGGTTTACATGAAAGTTATAGCGTTTATAAATGGTGGAAATGGGATGCGATCAGCGACTTATGACGGCGACTGATAAGCGACTGATGGCGCGATCAGCGACTTATAGCGGGACACCGGCGGGCATTCTGACACGGGGGGGAACTAACTGATGTCATGAAATCCCCATTGACACCAATACAGTGATCAGTGCGAAAATACAAAACTGACACTGTACTAATGACTGGCGGGAAGGGGTTAAAGTGCAGGGATCAAAGGGTTAACGGGAGTGTTTTACTAGGGGGGGGGGGGGGTGTGTGCTTCACTGTAAGCACACTGATCGACAGTGTGTCCGAGCGACAACCAAAACAGTCCCACCCCGCGGGATTGTCATAATCTGACACCAGACAGGACCCGGTGATTGGGGCAAACCCGGAAAATGCAAAATACGTATATATACGTGATTTTGCGCATGCCATGTAGCAGTATACCTGCCATACGGCGGTGGGTAAGCGGTTTAACAATCCTTACATTGTTCTCCCTGTTTTGTAATGTTTTGGAGAGGAGTAATAGTAGGAAATGGGATGCCTCCAGACATACCTACCATAATTTATCCATTGCTATATATTAAAGTGCAATGATCTTTCAATTAAGGGTTTAAAGAGGGGTCTGATGAGTGCTTTCAGGAAAATGTGTGTTTTTTTACCTTTTTTTAGGTCATGGCGGTTGGGGATGGTATTTCTCACGCTTTGCACATGTGTGTGTATTGGGACAAAAAAAAAAAAGGGAGGAAAGAAAGCAAATTCGAGGGCTGGACAAAAGTATTGGCACCCTTTCACAACTGCGGATAGTTACAAGCATGTGATGCTCCTGTAAACTCACCTGGGGGCAAGTAACAGTGTGGCAACTATAGAAAAATCACACCTGAAAGCAGATAAAAAGGAGAGACGTTCACTTAACCTTTGCATTGACACAAAGCTGATAAGGAGACGGAAACTGTCTTGTTTGTGGCAAAATATCAACAATCTCAACCAAAACAGTCTTCCACCCGTTTGGTGATTGTCAGTAATCACCGGGTGCCAGCAGGTAATCACCAGACAGGACCCGATGTGAAACATGTGACATCCGTGGCCGCAGAGGAGCACCGGTCAGCGCGCCAACTATCACGACATTTAAATGAAATAAACGCTTATGCAGGGACCCCAGGAGGACCCCTTGCCACAGAGACATAAAAAAGCAAGACTTTTGCCAAAATGTAGCTTGTATACCTGCCATAAAACGGTGGACAGATGGACCAAGCGAGCTTTTCGGTAACAATCCTTACTTGTTCTCCCTGTTTTGTAATGTTTTTTGCTGGAGGGGCTGACTGTGGAGTAATAGTAGGAGGAATGGATGCCTCCACAATGACCCCATACCTACCATTAGAAGTTGAGATCCATTGCTTATATATACTTCCAATATAAGCTGTCTTTCAATTAGAGGTGTCAGGAGTTAGGACCAAACTTAAAGAGGGTGTCTTGATGAGGCAGCGGGGCTTTCACAGATATTTGAAAATGTGTGCAACTAAAACTTTTTACCTTTTTTTGTAGGTATGCTGCATGAATAGGAACACACAACAAACATATATGGGGCCTTCTCACAGTGCAAAAAGTGAAAATCTGGTTTAAACTTTTGCTATCAGCTGGCCAATACTTAGCACTGCAGTTCTTGTCTCTACCACACACATCTGTCTTAACCAAGAAAGTCTAAATAGCCTGCTGGACATTAAGCCTTTGCATGATCTACAGGTTATTCTATCTGCTCATGCCCAGGAACCAGGCCTATCTTACCTCTGTTAGTTCATGCCTTGGATTATTCCTTTAAATAGTTTGGACTACATTTGTATTCAGCTTTTCTGTCCTTGTCCTGCTCATCAGCTTGCTATCACTGTTATGCTTAGTCATTTCTCTGTCTACCTATCTGAATTTTGGACTCTGTTCAGACCATGTTTTTCTGTATGTTTTCTGGCCATTAGCCTTCTAATTCTGCTCCCATCTGCTGTTTACTCATACCATCTGTCTGAAGACTTACCCTGCTCTTGAATCTGCCCTGTCTGTTAGTTGGCTGTCACCCCTGGTGACATGATGGATCTACCAAACTCTATGACAGTCAGTATAATACCAGGAGTCAAAAATATAGGAGCCCCGACATAAAACAGTTTTTACTGCCCTTTCTTGGACAGCATTATACAGCGAATAATTAAAGTGCTGTCATAAAACTACTGTGAGACATCAGGTGCGCAGATGTGCGCATGCACATAGTATTGTTCGCAGAATTGAGAATAGGTGTGTGCACATGTGGGAGCACGTGTGCGCGCACTCAGGAGCATGTCCACAGTTCCTGTTGGTGCCAGATGGACTTTTTAAGGGATGCTCTTGCTCACTTTCTTTGCTGACTGATCTTCAGCTATTGCTATGTGTCCTGCTTGTATCCTGCATTTTATCTGCTGCTGACCTGGCTTGTTATTGGCCTGACCTTGGATCCTGTTAATGCTTCTGCCCATCAGTTCCTGACCTTGGCTCACACTTGATGTCTCTGCCTGATGCTTCTGCACCTCGTTGACTGCTCGCTGCGGCCCCTGGCTGCCCCTCAGACTATGCTTCTGTCCTCGGACTTGGCTCCACGTTATTCCTGGTGCTTATGCCTTCCCTGGCTATCCCTCATCCCAGCTACAGTTGTCGCAGTGTGTTCCTGCTATAAGCGTGCTGGGAGCTCCAACAAGCCACGCATCCAGAACCTGTGATTCCTGTGGACTATCCCTTTAACCTTGGCTGGTTTTCCCTGCATAGTCTCTGTTCCTGACTCAATACCCTGCCTGGCCTTCCAAGTCTCTGGCTACTAGTTCTGCTATCAACACCTGCTTGCACTCATGTTCCTCCTTTCCCTTGGCACCATCTGTTCCACCTCTTCAATTCGGTCTCCAACCAGGTTCCTGACAAGTGCACTGAATGGGAGATAAACTCAGAATGAACAGAATGCATATAAACTTATCAAGAGACAGCTCATGCATTATTGTTTCCTTCTGTCTGACTCATTTCCCTGCAAAATCCTAGCCACTAGGGTTCATATGGTTTCATTGCCCGATTGTCCTCATTATTTTATTAATAGTCTTCATGATCATAATTTTTCCACCACCATAGTTTATGATTATGTTCAGTTTCTCATGTGCGGTGTGAATTTGGATGTTTTATTTATTTATATATAATATATATATATATATATATATATACAGATTCCTTGCGATCAGTTAAACCAATACAATTACATCAGTATATCACATATTTTTAATATACACCCGCATCAGAGGGTGTGTTTTTTTTTTTTTTTTTTTTTTTTTTTCTTCTCAGACTTATTATTCATTAGGTTCATGTACTCTCATTCTCCCCCCCCCCCCCCCCTATTTTTGCCACATTCCATACATCATACAATACTTACCACATGTCTGTATCCCCCTTCCCTCCTCTTCCCCTCAGTTCTGACATGTTGATCATTACATTTTCAATATTCATTACAAATATATTTGCCCTCTTGGTTCCCCTTTCCCCCCCCCCCCCTTTTTCCTTGC